TTAATAGTTAATTGAACTGCAGAGATATCGAATGCTTTAATCTATTATTTTGCACTAAAATTGCAATATATTTACACCAGGATTTTATGGTGCTTATATCTTTCTGTTTCAATTAACTTAAAATATTTTTTTTATGTTTATCATTTTGTGCCAATTCACAGACTGATATTTAAAGCCAGGTGTTTGGAACTCAAAATTGAATTTGGTAATCAAAGAAACTAACATACTACGGTGGTTGTGGCAATTATTTGTTAAAAACATTGATACTGATTTCACAGCATTACCTATGGTAAGTTGTTGCATCAATATCCAGTAGTATTCGATGACTGGTGGAACATGAGATTTTATTACGCCTACTTCCAGTTCTACCACGTCGAGTTGTACTACTTCCAGACTATTTTTAGAATAGTTAACTCGAAAGTTACTCAGTGCTTGTATCAGATTAGGCATTGTTATGGACCCTATCAGTTTGTGCGGTTAACTGCAATATGCGACTTTACAGTAAGCTTTAAGGATTGTTGTTGCCATTGGGGTTAGGTGGATTATTTTCACTCATATCTGATTATATTGCTGCTTGTTGAGGTACCTTTATTGAGACATTTTATGTACGCTAAAAGGGTGATTGACTGAGTCCTCGGGCCCATTAATTTCTTAGTTAACAATTCGCGTATCAAAAAAAGCTGTGACCGCACTTTTATTATACTATTACTTTTAATTTTAAATTTAACATCATTTTTTTTTTTTTGCGCATTTTTGATCACCTGACATTTTGACATTGTTTATTTCAATTTGTTTTTGAGCTAAGTTGAACACTGACTGCGTGCGTGGGTTGAGTGCCTTCATTCTATTTATTTTAAAATTGATAGTAACTTTTTAAATTAGTTATAAAAATGTATGTATTTTTATATCATCTATATTTTGACTGTATTCTAAAGTCATCTTAAATAAAATATAAAAAATTAATATAATATATTTTTACTATATTTTAAATATAATATTTTTAAATTCATATTATATATTTAAATTATTTAATTATAATTTTTAAAATAATTCAATCAAATTTTTAAAAAATATATTTAATAATATTAAATTTTATTAAAAAATATATATTCATAAAATTTATATATTTATAATATTTAAATATTTATAATATTTATATGTTTATAATATTTGTATATTTATTATATTTATATATTTATAATATTTATAATATTTATAAAATTTATAATATTTATGATATTTATAATATTTATAATATTTATATTAATATATATATATTTATGTATTTATATTTTAAAAAAGTTTTTATAATAATTTTAAAATATTATTTTATAATAATTTTAAAAAATCATTTAATAAAAATTTTATAATTTTTTAAAAAAAGTAAAAAAAAAAACAAAAAACCAACAGATAATTTACTCCAGTTTTGTTGTTTGCTGCATATTGTTGCATCAATATTAGCAGCCATTTAACATGCCTACATGTTGCCAGGTGGCTCACATAATCCAAACATGTATTGTAGACATTGCCTCCTCACAATGTGTATAAGTTACAATTAAACAGATGGCAACTAACTGCGAGCAGCTACAGTGGCAGGCACATATGCGTGCCACAGACAATTGTACTGCTGATTTCCATCCAAAACGGTTGAATTTGTACACAAACACACAGCGACACACATACACACATACAAACTCATACAAATAAATTTTTTTTTATCCCTTAATACGGTTGGTTTTAAAGCTTTAATATCGTGCACTCATCCTTAACGCCGTCGCTCATAGAGTGGAGCAGTGTTTGGTTAGCAACATTTCAGTTGTAGTTTGTATATAAACATTGCTGCTACCGGCACTTCTGCGCAACCCAATTTTTGTGCTTTCTGTTTTATTTTTGTTTTGTTTATTCCTTCGTATTTGTACTTAAATAACTTCTTTCACTTCTTTAGCTTTTGCCGTTATCATCCTGTGTTGGATGGCTGGCTTGTGCTTGTCAATTTAGAGCAAAGAAAAAGACCATCTGCAATGTCTGCAGAGGGCGCCTGTGTTGTTGTTTCTTGCCACCAATTATTAGGCGAACAGAAAACTCAGCACACCGCAAATGTTGCACAAACTTCGCAAATGTTTTGTTGCACAGTACTTCATACTCCATTGTATTGTTGTTGTTGCTGTGTGTTTCATGTTGCAGGCACATTTTCCATTACTCTATACAATTTTCTCATATGGAATAACAACACACACATGCACACAAAAAGGAACTCTGTGTTGCTTGCTGATACATAGGAGAAAAAAAGTATCCAGAGCAAAAAATAAATTTTGCGGCAAATAATAATTGTTGTTGTTGTTCATGGTGTGTTGTGCGCTGTTGCAATGAAAACCGGCTTCAGCATAATTTTATAGACTTTAACATTAAGTTGTGCAGCATTTGTAGTAACCAAGCAAAAAAAAAACAAAATATATGTAAATATCTGTACGAAAAAAAAAAACGCTAATATTGTCTTTTCCTAGTTGCTGCAATTTTATGTTTTTTTTCACGTTTTTCTGTTGTTGCTCTCCAGTGTTTTTGTTTTTTTTTTTATTTGGTTTTAGAAAATTGTGGTAAAATCAAGGAATTTCTTTGAAGTTTATTCTCGTTGCATGAATATTGCTGCTGTTGCTCATTGCTGTGCTGCTGGTTGCAATGTTGCACGGTTTGTGTTGCGTTTGTTGCAGAGGCAATGTTGATTATGGCCATGCAATTTTTTTTGGTTGCACACAATGCGAATGAAAATCTCCAATAAATCCAAATGAACTGTTGTGCTGCTTGCTGTTGCTGCAGCTGCTGCCGCTGCCGCTGCTGTCACTGATGTTAATGTGTTGCTGGCTGCATTACTTTGTGTGGTAAATGTTGCATGTGGCATGTTCATACACTGCTGTGATCAACACCGTACGACTGCACGACGACTACACGGACTACATTGTGCGCATACAAGCGTGTGGAAATGCAGTTTTTCATTTTGGCAACAAGATGATTGCTACCTTATTTGCCTTCACTGATGCCATTGATGTTGCTATTGTTGTTGTTGTTGCTGCTGCTGTGCATTATTAATCCATATTTTTGACGTTAATACAAAAACAAAAAAAAACAAATAACATAAAAGCGTGCAACATATCCATGCACTTTAGGGTTGATTCGGAGGCGAGTGGCGCTCCTGCCAATGTTGCAGCTGAGTTTGTGGTGGGTTGCTTTTGAAGATTGATGTGCTTCATTAAGTTGCAATTTATGGTTAACAAATCGTTTGGTTGTTAATTTTGTATTTTAATTGTTTAATTAAAATGTGACGCTTTTAGCAATTTTGTTCTTTAATAAAGAGAAGTAATCAAGGTAAATCTTTCCAATACCCTGCACGGGTCTTACGCTAAATTTTTATTTTTACGCATAAATTATTGACATGCAATGGGAGGAAGGTTAAGTATTTTAGAATCTGCAGGACATGGCGAAAAAATATGCCAAAATTGCATGTTGCACTCCAAATTGTGTGCGACATTAGGTGACATTCAAAAAATGTGTTCACACTCCATACGTATAACCCTGGGCACTGCATGGTGGCCTTTAACAAATCATATTTATACTTGCTAAATGTTTATTTTTATTATACAAGTAATTATATATATTGCTAAGGTTATTTAGTGAGGTTGGATAATTTTATATGCGAAAATGCATTTACATGTTAGGATGGGGTATGGTATATCGCCAGGATTAAGCAATTGTCGACTTTTTAAATAACAGTTTTTAAGTCTGAATTAGATATATATATGTATAGGTATGGTTTATTCAGCCCGTTAGTGATTATTGACTTCTCAGGTAACAGTTTTTAAGACTAAAATAAGTATTGAGGTCGTAGTAAATGAATACAGCACCTAACCTACTTAAGATAAGAGGCAGGATATGGTATATCCACTCGGTTAAACAATTACCGACTTTTTATGTAACAGTTTTAAAGACAGTATTAGGCGTCGTAGACATAGCGAATGAATACGACACCGGTTATCCTGAAGAGAGGAGGTAGTGTATAGCATACTGCCGGGGTTAAGCAAGTATGGACTTTTTGGGCAACTTTTTTAAGACTGATTTAGGCACCTAACCTCTTGATATATATATCCGGTATATCGATCCGGTTGATCAATTGACGACTTTTTAGTTAACCGTTTTTAAGGCTAAAAAAATGCCGGTTACGTAGCGAATGAATACGACACCATATATCATGAAGAAAGAAGGCGGTGATTGGTGTATTGACACGGTTAAACAGTTATCAACTTTTTAGGTAACAGTTTTTAGAGCAAAATTGGGTGTCGTAGACGTAGCGATCAAATACAACACCTATTCTTCTGACGAAAGAAGGCAGAGTAGGGATATCCACGCGGTTAAGCAATTATCGACATTTTAGGCAACAGTTTTTAAGGCTAAATTGGGAGTCGTGTTGTAAATGAATTTATATTTAGTATCAATAATTTAATGCGTTTTCTTCCATAAGTTAGAGCGGGTTAGCTGATTTCTTGCAACACAACAAATTCAGTCTTTAATGGAATATATAGAAGGAAAAATTTTATTATTTGAAGATATAAAAAGATACTTGTACAAATTCAGCTCATTAATTCAAAAAAATGAAAAGAATCCGATTCCGACAGTGTCTTAACTATAATTTAAAATCGCAGCTTTCACTCATAAAACCCTAAGTAGTACAATAAAAATGAACGAATATATATGCAGATATATCTATTAATGCTCTTATAGTAATGCTTAAAACAGATATAAACCCTTATTAGAGCTACTTCTATACATTTGAAGGAAAGGTTTATTATATATAAAAACAACAGTACTATATTAAACTACTCAAACACTACACTAGTGTATTAAAGTTCGATACTAAACTTATATTATTATATAAAATATTTATTATTTTAATTTTTTTTATATAATTAAAAATGCATTAGTAATAATTGAATTTTTATTTTGCCTTTCAGAATACATTCCATTCAAAGTTTCTAATATTTTCTTCGCTCTAAGTAAAGGTGAGTTTTTACAATTTTAAAAGTTTTGAGTTTAAGTAAATATTGTTTGTCATATAAAATATTATTAGATATACATAGTGTATAATAGTTATTGCAGCATTTCCAATAAATTAATCAAAATAAGTATGTACTACATAAACCTAATGTAGAAACAAGCAACATAAAGCTATTTTCAAGCATTTTTATTAATATATTTTATTAACGTAATATTTGCTATATAAAAACATATAATTTATTTTATTTAGTGAGTTTTATAAAAATAAAGATTAATAATGTAGTTGCATTGGATTTACATTAAGTTCATCATCATATATATCAGGTGTCTTTGAAGCGTGGGAGTAACACTTGGTGAAAACAACTTTTTCCGCTTTCACGAGTTAAAATCATACATTGATTCTAATGTACTTTTTAAAATAAGTCAATATGAAAATCAGCCCACAGAAATAGAATATTCCAAAGTAATTATAGTTTTTTTGGGTCACTGCGGTAGGTTTATCTATATTACCGTATGTATAAAATTATTCTTTTATGTATAAAATATAACAGAAGTTTCTAAAATAGTCATGGTGCGTTTGGGATATATATATATATATATATCCCATACTAGATTTTTGATTTTCTTTATTTTAATACCTTTTGTCTATTTAACGCTATTACATATAAACTAAGTTGAGAATTGATTGCTTGCGCTAATGAAGTGATAGGGTTTACGTCGTTATTAATATGAATTCGAATTGGTTTGGGCCAATTCATATGGTTTAAATACTTAAGTAAATTATGTTATGTATGGATGTTGTGTTGTTACACCCATATTTATGTGTGATCCTACTTCCACACATGCATCAATATCATATCTGGGTTATATGCTCTTAAGTTTATTTTTAAAAAAAAAAAACAAAAAAAAAATAAAATAACATTTAAAAGTATAATTAATAAATAAAAGTGCCAGTTTTCAATATTTATAATCAGAAATACAAAATTGTTTATTATTTACGTTGAAAAAGCATTTTATGTGTATTTCTCAAGTATATGTAAGTGCTTTAATTAATGTGTTTAACTCTATAAAAACACGAATTAATGTATTTGAGTTATCTATTCGATATAATTTTATGACTGAAACATTAATTAAATGTAGTAGATAGAAAAAAGAGCGTATAAATACTGCATTTAAAATAAAAATCAGTTTTGTTTAAATTGACTGAAATTGTTACTTGACAAACATGAATTTGCGATTTTAAAATATTTGTTGTAGGATTTTTATGGAAGCAATAAAACAGCATTACTCACACCAAATCCACGAATCTCTGAACTCGATTCTCCTTTCCTTTGAACTGCTGGCATTGCGCATGCACAGAACTCATATAAAATCCAACTCAGGCTTCGTATTACCATCCATGGCCCGCCAAACAAAAAACTCGCTAAAGTGTACACAATTAAGCTAATTGGAGGAATGTTCGTACACTAAGAAATGAATAATAATATTTAAAAAATGAAAAAGCCATACAATATATAAGAACTGAGGATTCTTCATTCCATTTTATTATCTTTTTAATTTATTAATAACATCCTTAACACATTTAATCTGATGCGAAGATTATAAGCCCGTGGGTGTTTAAAACCAATAATTTTAATAAATTTCACCGCAAAAAATTTATACAAAGAAGATAGAGGAATAAAATTTAAAAAAAAATGTTAAACGATTACTGAGGATTATAAAAAAGAAACAAAAGAATTATGAAATTAAAAAAAAAATAACTAAAACTAATTTTTATTGATTAGCTTGAATAATATTTATTTTTTAAAAGTTGGCAGCTTTTAAGTTTTTTCATAGAATGCTGAATTCAAAAGCCATAGGGAAACGCAACGGATCCACAGGTAGTCTATATGGAATATGTCACAGAATCATAGCTCTTCAAGCCGCTACATAGAATGCTAAATTAGTAGGAGTGGGGCTTCTAACATAACATAACATCCATATGGAATCTGTAATATAAATATGTTTTTATATCACTATATATATTGTTGACTTTGTAGAAGGAGTGGAATCCATATAGGTAATCTGTATGGAATCTGTTATAGAATTATAAATTTTTATATCACTACATAAAGTGTTGACTCATTTTTTTTTTTTTTCGAGGCTGGGGAACAAAAAATGTCTACACACACCCGCAGAAACGTCTTTCTGAGGGTAGTGCAAGGTTCGCGCTAATCACTAATATGCTAAAAAACTCCCCTTTCCAGAATGAAGTACATGACCCGGAACCACCACTAGGTATTGCTTCAGGTCATGCACATCCTGATTGTAAGATTTAATCTTACGACGCTGCTGTTGTACCTGCGTCCAGGCGCCTTTTTTTTGCACGGAGTACTGCCTCCACGAGCCTCGCCATCACGGACCAGTTGCTCTCACTTGCCAGTAGTCAGTACACTACGTTTTCTGGGTTCCACATGCCACCAATCTGTGCTTCTGGGCTAGCTCTCTCGGTTAACCATTTAATGCACTCGAAGAATGCGTGTTCCGTTTCTTTTAAATATTTTATATCCGTCTACAGAAAGTAAACAACAGAACCAAAAACATTACGAATAGATATAGATTTTATTATCATTAATTAATGTTTATTAATTAGTTCTTATCCTGGTGATGACTCTTAAGGAGTGTCGAAATATAGAATATATTTAAACGTTTAACAAACGTTTAATTTAAAAAAGGTGACCCCTGTAACCGGGATATAAAATATATAATAAACATAATAAACAATATAATAAACATTAAAATATAAATTTTTTTGTTATTTTTTCTTACCGAGAGTAACGCGTCTTTATTATTAAAAGAAACTATTTGATAGTTAGACGGATTCGAATAGCAAAGAGAAGACAAGAACAAAAATTTAGTTGATTTATTAAAATTTAGCTGAACAAATTTTTTGTTTTTTTTTTTATAAATCTTAGTATAGTCACCGTTAAATACCTTTAATTCAAAAACAAAAAAAAAATTATTTAAGATATAAGAAATATTTAATATAAGATATAACATATATTAAAGTTATAAGATCTGTTTAAGATATAGGATATATTTAAGATATAAAAAAGATACTGTCTTAATTAAATCTATAAACGTACCTAATAGGATTAATATGTGTTCGTAAATATATTTACATTATTTACATTAATTATTTAATTAATTTTAAGTAGCTTTTAAACACATCTTCATTAAGACTTTTTTCGCGGATATCACAGCTTTGAGTTTTGTTTGGCTCCAATTACTATGCTTTAGTAATTGGGATTAACATCTAAGAAGTCGTATAATATTCATGAAAATCACATCCGCAGTGATTCATATTACAGGGAAATATTTAAGCGTCTAGGTAACGAGTAAATATTAAATAACAGCGAAAATCCTTTTACAAAACACACCGAAACTTCATATAAAGTTCTTCATTAAACTCTATTTACTGCAAAGTATGTAATTAAAAATTCTATTCAACAACTTATGTGGTCTTTCTTTTTTTTTTTCATTTTATTAATTTTTTTTTTATTTCAGTAAGCAAAACTGACATAAATGCTTTAAACACTCAATACCGAACGAAATTCATGAATTCATGAACTTTGTGGAAAGCGCTTTTTATATTCACTCAACAAGATAAAAGCGGATCTTTCTCGCAAATTGAAGCAGGCGCTCAGCTCTTTTCGTAAGTGGTCCGGTAATAATATTTCATTCCAGTGGCAATCAAATTACTTCCTTCGGACCAGAAGCAATGTTGGATAGAAGCACAAGCAAGCGGTAGGTAGCACGAAATCTGAAAAGCATTTATTCATGTTAAAAGCATAGAAATCCAACTACAAACCAACCAGCCAACCAACACAGAATTGAGTATCTGCGGTGCTTTACAGCGCAATATACCTTTGTAAATGCATACTCATACGATACTCATACCGAATTCGTGTAGCTCACAAATGTGTATTTCAACAAACAATTATATCTTTTATTTTTTTATTATTATTATTTGGTTGGTTTCGTTTTGTATCGTACATATACGTATACGTACACACCACATTCGATATCCAATATTAAAATTTTAAAATTCACTCGGTGTCTGGCAATTGTTTGTTGTTATTTTATCATCATATAAGTTCACTCAGAGCATTTTGCTTACGATTCTTCGAACCTGTTATATTCCGATAAAATTCACTTTTTGTAAAAACCGCATCAATTACGATTCGGAACCGTTATTATTGTATTTTAAGATATGAAAATAATTCTATTATATGGATTTGAGTACGGTGAATGCATCTATCAGTAGATATCCATTCAACTGCTGCTATCCAAGTATCTAAACAACATATAGGTTTATCTTAGTTTTGGTATTTTAGTACTACGACACCAACATTTCTTGATTTATCCTCACTCTATGTTCTTCTCCACTTCTGTTGGTTGTTGGTTGTTGGTTATCGGTTGTTTGTTGTTTGTTGCTAAATAGACATAGACATAGACATAGACTCGAATCTATTTATCTGTAGAATCCGAAAAACGTTTGTATTTCATTCTCTTAGTTGTTTTTGTTGCTTCCATATACCACAAATTGTTAGTTTTGCACCATTTTGTGTTCGTCGAAATGTGATTAGGAGCTCAGAAATGTTAAGCTAAAAATCTAACATAAAAGCTCTCGATTTTCTAGGCTAGCAATACCGGCAGCAGCGGCAGCATTAATTTAAATTGTACACAGAAAAAATAAAAGCGGAAATATCTGAAAAGAAATATTCAGCTTTTTTACTTTACAACGTATACGGAAAATATAAAATATTAGATTCAAATGCATTTCTTTTCTCTTTTTTTAGGGTTGCTCTCTAATCTAACTCTGACGTCATACAATTTTGTTATTCTTAACATGAACTTTGGCGCTTTGGAATTATAGGTTTGAATAGATCTGCTCTACTAAAGTATATGTGAAAGTACTTAACTATAAAATTAGCATTTTAATTATTTTTGTCTATTTTTTTGT